TTCTCCAATACATTATTTGTACAAGACAATTGATTGAATGCTTCAGTAGTAATTGCCGCTTCTTCTACTACACTAGGTGTAGTAGATTATACGCATGTAATCGTTAACCATAAGTGATTGAAACAGAGTGAGGTTACGGTCTATTTGTTTCTCTACAATATTTCAGAAAAACATAAATACATTTATCGCTCAATATAAATGTGAAGAAGAATTAAATTTAATTATTATGAGAACAATAAAAAGTTCATATATACCTATTTTTTCATTTCTTCTCAAAATTCTGCGACGAGAAAAATTTTCGCGTTTTCCTACAATTTCGTATTAATCCGATATAATCCGATTGTTCCATAGACATGTTTATAAATCCGATTAGTCTAGGGAACTTTTCTCCAAGTTGGTTTTCTAAACTGCGATTTCTAAAATCCGATTGCAAATCTGATTACTATACGTGAACACCCTTAATCTATGGGATAATGTTCTCGTTTGCAAATTATCTATGCAACAATTGTTGAATGAATTACTTTCATATAACATAACACGATTTATTCTACTGTTCCGTCATATTCATCACATTCGAGTGACTCGTCCAAATAGGTATATTATACATTTTTTGCAATGATGAAAATTTAGTGTCACTTGCATGGAAAACCCAATCCATAACATACTTCGTTGATTGTGAAGTGTTCGATCTGTATTAACATAAAATATTTGAAAAAATTACGTTTGGAAACTGTAATACAATATCTTATTTATAATAATTTCGTATGTAATATTACACGAGTCACATGAAACAGGTTTGTAGAATTAGAAAATGTGTGTTAAAAATTCTAGTGTTCTAGTTTTGCAAATTGTTAATGAAATAATTATTAGATAAATCAGTTTTGCATAACAGGAATTACTTTTTTGTGTCAAAAACTTGTGTTTATTTAAATAGCCTGGTTCGGAAAATCCAGTGAAACAGTTAATTCATGTCTGTATTGTCTGGAATTGGAGACGTATAGATTGCTAAGTCTTCTCTCGTTTCCAAGATTGCATCGAATTCGAATTCATATTGATTTAAAAGTGTGGTCGTACATGCACTGGGAAGGGAATCCTCTTTTTTTGATGACGATGTGGATGCTGCAGGTCTTTATTTAAATACAGTATGCGATCCAATTCATCCAAACCTCTTGGTTTTCTAGAAAATTCTTTAGGTATGTATGGTATTAACAGCTTCAAATCTGTAGACAATTGATTTATTTGAGAAGCACGCAATTTAATACCTTTTATTCCTTTAATCCACAATTTTGTAAGTGTTTGAGAAGTATTGAACCGAAGGTTCCTAGCCGCTAAGGGGGATCGGAGGC